CAAATTGACTTTTGCTCAAATAAACTCTATAAAGTTTTGGCATGCCTCAGTTTATCTTTCAACATTAGGAATCATGGAACAATGGACTGTTAATGATGCATCCAAAGCTTCTGTAGAAGAGGAAAGAACCAATGGTTAGTAGAGAACTTAAATAATAACTTTATTTTTACAATGATTTTAATGAAGGCATTTACTTCCACAGAGGAGAAAGTTAGTATTTATTTATAAGTTGCAAGGCTTAATTCTTAATGTATGAAGAAAATAAAGGTCTTCGTGAAATACATACAACCAGAAAATTTCTTTCCTTCACATTTTTTTTTTGCTGTGAAATGAGATAAATGGATATGAAAGTACTTTTATGAATTTGAAGTGCTTTATAGATCTATTACCATCAGAAGACTATCATGTTCTACCCCTAGTAATCGTTGTGTGATTTGCCATAGCAGTCGGATATTTACACAAAAAGTAAATTTCCAAAAAAGGTTTTGAAGATACTCCCATTCTCATTACATTTAAGTGTGAGCTGTCTCTTAGTTGACAAATGCAATTGCCTTTTGTGTTATACCTTCATATCAACCTTGGACACTGCACTCCTAAAAGGACAATGCAGTTTAAATCCACATTGGACACAATCATTTTCTCACTTTAAACATGGGAGAAGTGTTAGGAAACATCAAATACGCTAGTATTTTTAAAAGACCCCAGAAATTAAAAGACATGTGCAAATTCATGAATTCATATAGCTGCTATATGAATTCAGCTGCTCTAAATTCTTAGAAATCCCAAAGCTGCTTAGACAAGGTGTTGCTTAAGTGAAGCTGGATGGTGGATGATGCCTCACTTGACTTATCAGCTATCACTGAGAGAAAGATGAAAAATGGGCACAATTTAATCCAGCTTTTTCTATGCAGCATCATGGACCTAGAATTTGGCATCACTGTTTAACATGGGAAATACATGAAATTAGAGACAAGGAAGCCTTGACTTTTGCTCTAACTTCACCACTAATTTAAGAATGTGGTCTTGGGCAAGTCAACCTCTACAAATCTCAAATTTCTTATCAGCAGAATGTGACTCAATAAAATAATCAATTTGAATATACTTTGCAAAAATAAAAGTATCAAAGAAATAACTCTTCCAAAAGGTTGTGAACATCATTAAAATTTACCACTCGGAACACCCCATGCAAATAAGACTTAATTGTGATTCACAGACATATTTACAGAAGCGGTATCACATTTTGGAGGATCACAGGTCGAGTAAAGACAAAGAATGGTCACCATCCTATGCCTGAGGAAATCTGGGTTTTCATAGGAAACAGAGTTCCTAGCAAAAATCTCTCTAGGTGGTATGGAGCTTATCCAACAGTATATTCTAACTTTAAAGGGAGAGAACTACATCTTGAAAAGTCAAGAGACCTTTAGAGAAACCAACAAGACATACATTAACACAGGCATCAAGTTCCAGACCAAATTAAAGTTTTACAAAGCTGTGAAAAAGGCTCAGAAAGAAGAAATTCTTGCATGAGACAGAGTTCTTGAAAGTCATGGCTGGACAATTATGCAACTGACTGACCAACTTCTTTGGGAGACAGCTTTAGGGACTTGGGCTATTCCTGACTCTGAGACAGACTCACAAACAACACCAAGCAACTAAAATAGCTGCTTATTGATAGTAAAATTTATTTTCACAGGGGAAATAGGGGAGTGTGACACGTGGTAGTTAGCAGTCTACTACTGATTACTATTACTGCTATAGCCAGAGAAACCAGCTGATGTGTCAGACATGTTAAAAAGTAAAAGTTTGCCACAGTGTACGTTTGCTGTAGCTTTCTCCCCAAGCTTCTATAATGATGCTTGTTACACAATAATAAGGACAAGGCAGGGGCTTTTCTACAGGGTCCTATCAATTCAGCCATACACTGACCTATTCTCTAATGGAAATAGCTGGAGAAATACAAATATCAAGACTCTGAGAACATCAAAGGCCTTGCTGGAAAAGCCCCCACACAGAAAAACGTGTGGGTGTCAATCCTTCCACTCTGGAAGGGTAAAAGCCTGAGCTGATGATGCTGGAGGAGACACTCAGTCTTTAAAGAAATGAAACAAGTATAATAGTTGACACACAGATTACCAAATAGCCTTTCCCTTAGAACTAATGCTAAATTTGTGGTTTTGATTTGAAAGGTACAGAGAGAGATTATGCAGTTTTTAGTGGAAAAAAAAAAATAAGGAAAAGAGCATGATCATTTGTCTCTAATCTTTTCTAAAAGAAAAAGTTATTTGCCTCTAATCTGACTTTTTCTTTACTTCTTTTTCCTCTTTAGGAACTGTAATGCTTGTTTTTAAATTTTAGGAAGATGTTTCATATTCTTCAGAATATTGTCTAATGTGTAGCTAAAAAGTACTGAACCATTTTTCTCTGTTCTTTTTTAGTACAATTGCATTCCTTAGAACATGTAACCTGGACTTCCCTGGTGGTCCAGTGGTTAAGACTCTGCACTTCCACTAAGGGAGGCACTGGTTTATTCCATAATCAGGGAACTAAGATGCCACATGCCCTGTGGTGTGACCAAAGAAAAAAAAAAGTAAAAATTATGCTCACCCTGCCTACCCACCCTCAACTTAACCTTAAATTTACACAGTTACATTTTAACTGTGTTGTCAAAATTCATTTTAAAGTCATGTTGCTTCTTCAAAATTGTTTATATCCACCTTTCTCAAGGCAGTAATCATCTCTTATCTGGGATTACACTTGTCTACCTATGACTTTTCTACTACACATGTTTCTTTGAGAAAGAATATAAATGATAAGAGTGTGGACTCTGGAGTAAGAATATTCTGATTTCAAATCCTTGTTCTGTCTTAAACTGGAAGGGCTAAATAACTTAGAACAAATTATTTAACTTCTTTGACGTTCAACTTTCTAATCTACAGAATGGTACCATCACTTCACAGGTAAGGCTTAAACTAAATCATGTATCTGTGCATACTTTTTTCTTTCTATATACCTGACAGTATCATAGGAGTTAGAGAAATATGTTTACAGAATAGACAAAAATAAATAATGTAGTAAAAATGGGGAAGTTCTAAGAAATGGCTTAAAAACTATTTCCTCAATTTTTCCCAGTTTAAATTAGAAGTATATATCTATACCATCATTCAGGCAGTTAGTGCATTGTACTGAGCGCAAATGAACATAATCCCAAGTATCCTACCTGATCTAATGACTAAAAAATATTGATCTGGTATTATTTTATAACTATTATTGTTACACTCAGTGTCACAGGTGCTAAATTTATTAAAGAGTGAAAACATAAAAACTGGAAACTTATGGATTGGTTTATACATGGCACTCTTTGAACGCTTTCATATTTAGTCATGTCTGACTCTTTGTGACCCATGGAGTGTACCCCGCCAGGCTCCTCAGTCCATGGAATTTTTCAGGCAAGAATACTGGAGTGGGTTGACATTTCCTGCTCCTGGGGGTCTTCCTGACCCATGTATTGAACCTGCATCTTCTGCACTGAAGATGGATTCTTCACCGCTGAACCATCAGAGAAGCCGTTATACACGGCACATATAAAGTCTGCTATAAAACTAGCATCAATACCCTTGAATGTAAACTCAGTGAGTGTTTGTTAATCACAAGTTTTTTTGTAGTACTATATTTTTTCATAAAGGTGCTCCAAGAATTGTAATGAATACCCCCTCTTAGTAACTTTTATTGCTAGAGTTCTGGCGTCTGTATTGTAAGTTACGTTGGAGTAACTGAGCCCAAATACCCCTACTCTGAGAATTGCTCTCAATCCACAAGACACACACACATACACACATACACATTCCATGGCTCATCATGGCCTTCTGGACTGCTTATTACCCTGCCTTTCTCACTCCCAGCCACAATAATTAGGCCAGTACTGGTACACCTCAAGCTAGCCATATTATCTTTCTCCTAAAGAATAAATAAATGGTATCCATAAATTCCAGTTAGTAAGCTTCCTATAAACAAGCCTGGGGATTCCTATTGTTATGCTCATTTTCTTTCTTATATTTAAAGAAATACAAGTAATCTGTTCAACAGATAGAAAGAAATGAAATGGGTATGAAGAGGGAGAAAGACTAATACAGCTCAGATGGCCCCTGAGAGACTGAGAGGAAGAAAAAGCATCCTTGATTCTGGCAACATTCCAACTCTCATTATATTCCCTTAATACCCATAAAAAATAATAAAGGAGCAAAAACAAATTTGTAAAAAAAAATGACTAATCCCCTCCTCCCACACACACACCTAGCAGCAGTAATACTCTTGTATGCAAATCCTTTTCTGAGTATTTGTTTGTTAAACACCACACTATTAAAAAAAAAGTACAACAGACATTGAGAGATGTAAACAGATACAAGAAACACATTAAAATTAAAATAGCATAAAACAGTGCCCCAAACTCAGTGAGTATTTTATGTATTCTAATTTTAATACCTCTCTAGCTGATTGTGTAAGAAGTAATCTATCACGTTGTATGCATTAGCTCAGTCATCGTGGAGATAAAAAGGTAAAGCCATTCTGGAACAGGAAACCAATATTCTTCCTGTTTAATCAACAAATCTAAAAATTTATTCTTTTCAACTATTTACTCTTGTTCCTGTCCACCACAACATGGTGCTCCACATGTTCCACACAGTTTTATGACAAAGAGAAATTTTTCATGAGCCATTTTTGTATCCCCACCCCCTTAAAGAAAGAGGGAGGAAAAACTGTTTCATACAGAAGGCGTTAGTTGTATGAATTAGAACTGCCACCTAAGTGTGGGCTAATGTAACCAAGAGGGATTTCACCTACATCCATTCAGTCAGTTTATGGGGGTTTAAAGAAATTCCAAAGAGTCATCAGAAGAGGAAAAATAAAGGTAATGCTTTTTGCCACACAGGTAGAATCTTTGAAAGTATGTGTAATATGTAAAACATTTTGACACCCCCATCATATTTTTCCAGAATTAAAAGTATAAATTGCTTCTCTTGTTCTAGAGCTTCCTATCTGCCTCTCTAATCACTACTCACAGTAACCTCAACTCCTGCCACAATGTACAAGCTACAACTCTTGTCTTGCATTGCACTAACACTTGCACTCGTTGCAAACGGTGCACCGACTTCAAGCTCTACGGGGAACACAATGAAAGAAGTGAAGTCATTGCTGCTGGATTTACAGTTGCTTTTGGAGAAAGTTGAAGTAAGTTTATTCTCTTTCTTACTCAAATTATTACATTTAATTTTTCTACCTGGAGTCTGTTTTTGAAATAACAATCTGTTATGCTTTCTCAGAATCCCGAGAACCTCAAGCTCTCCAAGATGCATACATTTAACTTTTTCATGCCCAAGGTTAACGTAAGTACAACTTTCTATGTTCAATTTAATTTTAATAAAACTGAAAGTAATGTGAAAATTTACACACTAACTGGATTAATAGCACCTCATCTGAGGAGAAGAAATAGTAACTTCAGTATCTTTTTAAAAAGAATCTCAAGTTTGATAATGTGCTTCTGAAAAATGGCTTTGCAGTTTTTAAAAAATATATACTTATGTATATTTTGGGGTAAAGGAAATGGGAAAAAGGGAATAACATTCTCACTTTATTGCTGGGATAATTTTTAAAAAGATTGTGCTGACTTACTGTTTTATTTAAAAATATAAAACTCTGGAGATACTTGAGCATATCACTTTACCATTCAAATTAGCTAAACTGATTTCAGAGGGCCCATCTGAAAAAATCCTTTATTGTTTTAGGAAGGATTCTTAAGGATCTTCCTTCAAGAGGCAGTATAGCACTAATCCATAGCACAGATCCTAGGGCAGATTATTTAACCTGAAATCTCAGCTCTGCCATGTCCAAGCTTTTGTAACCTTGAGCAAGTTACCTATTCTCTTTGTGACACAGTCTCTTATGTGAATGATAATTGTATATACTTCATACAGTTTTGTGAGAATTAATGAATAAATGTAAAGTACTCAGAATAGTGCCTGGCATAGGGGAAATGCCATATAAGAACTATTAGAAGTAATAATAAGGACAAAATTCTTCCTGGAGAGTATAGAGTAAAAATTGCAACTTACACATCTTTTATGTCAATAAACCTAGAGACTCCTGATGCTATCTGACTTATATTCCAAGACTAAAGGTTCCATTTGGTTGTCTGGGGATTCAGACTGTTAGATAAGCATCATCCACGCTCCTAGAGATATATTAGGTGTGTCAAGTTTCCTAGTTGTTATGCCAGTCAAAAGGTAATGGGCAAAACTCTAATCCTAGAAAGAGCTTGTCCTCAGGTGAATAGCCCATAAGAGAATGGTGTTTTAACGGTCATGGATGCATTTCCATTGATCACCCTCTTACAACTTTGAGGAAATTAGATATCAAACTACCCTTTGAGACTTCCCTGATGGCTCAGAAGGTAAAGAATCTGCCTGCAATGCAGGAGATCTAGGTTTAATCCCTGGGTCAGGAAGATCCCTAGGGTCTCAATTAGAGTTAGGGTTAGGGCTAGGCATGGCAACCCACTCCAGTTATTCTTGCCTGGAGAATCCCATGGACACTGGGGCCTGACGGGCTAAGGTCCATGGGGTCTCAGAGAGACATGACTGAGTGTCTCTAACATGACTAACACTTTCACTTTCTTCACACTTTTTTCAAACTACCCTTTTAAAAGATGAAAAGGAAATAACTTAGAGATGCTCCTCCAACTTAATCAGAGTCACATAACTCTTATTTACAGTAACATAAAGACACTAGACTTTTTTGAGGGAAAGAGCTCCAAGTTCATGTCAAAAACTTAAGCCTTAAACTTGTTAATTTATAGTAGCCAAGTTGAAAGGGCATTAGATGAAAATGTCATAAGATGTATGTGGTGTATTCCTACCTCTCTCTCTAAAAGTGAGATAACAAGAGATTATGTGCAGGGTGGTAGAACTCTTTGAAATTTAACAGTTTTTATTTTTATTTATTTATTTTTTCCATTTATTTTTATTAGTTGGAGGCTAATTACTTTACATCATTACAGTAGTTTTTGTCATACATAATTTAACAGTTTTTAAATGACAACACAAAATCTACTTGAAACTAAAAGTAATGTGATAAACTCCATTCATTTGTCCATTTTACAGCTATTCAATGTTTGCAAAAGAATTTAGAGAGGTACAAAAACATTTAATTCAAAGGCTGTTATGATAATGCTATAAAGAAAAAGAACTGACATCTAATTCTGACTCCACCTAGTCAGTATTCTTGCCTGGATAATCCCACGGCAGAGGAGCCTGGTGGGCTATGGTCCATAGGGTCGCAAAGAGTCAGACGTAACTGAGCATACACCCACATACACACCACCAGGTCATGTGGCCTTGGGGAAGACACTTAAAATTCTGAGATTTAGTTTCCTTATTTGTAACATGGTGATAACACTGTGTATTACATATATCAAAAGGTGGCTGTGAGACATAAATGGACTTATTCAGGACAAAACACTTTGAAATTATAATATACCATAGAAATAAGAAATATTATCATTAGATATGAGTATGTACATGTGTGTGCTTGTGTGTGTACATGTCTAAATCAGGGAGCCTATCTAAAAATCCTTCAAATACTGTAAGCTTTTATTTGATTGAGATGTTATGTTTAACAATGCATCTTACTATACTTATTATAGAAAAGTAAAAAATTAAGATGAAGTTTTATGGGCCTTGCTATATCAAGCTATTACTAAGTAGTTACAATTAACTAATCTATAAAATGTTGTGATTGTGACAGATTGCATTCAAGAGCTCCCTCTGTCCCTAACATTCTATGATTCATAACTCTTATGTTATTAAATATTAGAATCATAGAATGTGAACCTACACTTCCACATTATGACTACTCTTGGATCTAATAATTTCTATGCAGACTGGAAAAGAATTCAACCTATATTGGTAATTTGCATTTGGGTGCAGAAATGTTGCCTTTTTTGCAAAGCCAAATTAAGCTGAAATTAACGCCTCATTATTTGTTAACTAACAGTTAATGCTAACTATGTGCAGCTAAACTCCAATTTTTCAGTCTTATAATGTAAATTATATTGATCCATTTTTATAGTAATGCTGAGAAACAGAGAGAATTGGTACAAACTATATACTGTCTCTATTAGCAAAATAAATTTTGATATTAATTTCTGATTCTGACCTTTAGTCAGGGCAAATTGATCTGATAATTACTTTTACTACTACCCCAGGCTACAGAATTGAAACATCTTAACTGTCTACTAGAAGAACTCAAACTTCTAGAGGAAGTGCTAAATTTATCTCCAAGCAAAAACCTGAACCCCAAAGAGATCAAGGATTCAATGGATGAGATCAAGGATTTAATGGACAATATCAAGAGAATAGTTTTGGAACTACAGGTAAAATATTACTGTACTTGTTCTGGAAATAAAATAAATGGAAGGGCATTTTAACATTGTATAACATTTGGTATTTGTGAAGTACTCATGCATTTAAAGTCCATTATGAATATAAGTCATTTTTATATTAGATGACACATTGTGGATCTGGGAAGTGTAAGCTAGAGGGCTTCCATCCACCATCCACTCAGGGACAAGCCCCTACCAATGCACTCTGTCACCCCTCACATTAACACAAAACTGGGATTGGCAGAAGACACTGAATTGAATTTCAAAGAAAGGAGACAGGTGTCATTATATACAGTAAGCCCTCTACATATGAACCTTTAAGTTGTGGACTTTCAAAGATGTGAATTTGCATTCACATGTCCAATCACAAAAGTTAGTACACGTGTCTGGCATACATTGTCACTTGCCTGCATCCTGCATCAACCATACAAGTGACTGTGCTTTGTGCACTTTATTGTACAGTGCTGGATAGAGTACAGTAGTAGTGGGTATCTTGTTTCAAGCCCAAGATGTCTAGAAGCAAGTGTAAAAGCAGCAGGATATAGCTGACTGTGTTAAGTTGGGTACCTAGGCTAACTCTGTAGGACTTACAAACAAAATTCAACTTACAAACCCGCTCTTGGAACAGAACTCATTTGAATGTAGGGGACCTACTGTATTTTTTAATGTTTTCAGATCATCTTCCAGAATAGCTAATTCTGATTACCCAAATTACTTTTTAAATGGGGTTTTCCTATCATTTGGTAGAAGAACTAAGAGATTTGTCTAAAAAAATGGCAACCAGTACAATGGCCAATGGACTAGATAATTAACTTTTTATTTAGAGGTAATACTCACTTTCAGGACCTTAAGAATTTTAAACGCATAGAAGCATGAAATATACAAGGAACTTGGGTGATGTGAGAGATTCATGGCTCTCTTTCCTCATCCATCTGTCAAAGTACAAAATTCATTAATTAATAGACATCCTAAATAAAAAGCACAAGTTAAATTACAGCTTGTATGTCACTATCTGGATATCATAACATACACTAATTTAGGCACATAATTTTGGTCATTTGAAGAAAATGTGAATGTTAATATGTTTAATATACTTGAAAATAAAGGCCATAACTCTATAAGACTTGAACTGAAAATAATTATATATAAGGTAAACTACTTTGAACTAAAACAAAATTGTTTTCTTTTATAGGGATCTGAAACAAGTTTCAAATGTGAATATGATGCGACAACAGTAAAGGCTGTAGAATTTCTGAACAAATGGATTATCTTTTGTCAAAGGATCTACTCAACAATGACTTGATAACTAAGTGCCTCTCATTTTAAACGTACCAGGCTTTCTATTTATTTAAATATTTAAAATTTATATTTATTTTTTGATATATGTTTTTCTACCTTTTGTAACTATTAGTCTTAAGATGATAAATATGGATCTTTTAAGATTCTTTATGTAAGCCCTACGGGCTCTAAAAAATTCAGTTAAATTATTTATCCTAAAGTATTTATTTTTATATTGAATTTTTAAATATAATGTCTATGCAGGTCATTGACTAAAATTATTTAATAAAGTTGATGAATAAAAACAAACTCAGATATTTGTCATTCTGGGAACAGCACAGAATAAGGAAGGTCCTTTAATATGGCCACAGGTATATACTATAAAAATTTCCCCAAGCAATTTTGGAAGAGATATTCATGTGGGAGCCCATTCACTAAAGAATGGGAATTATTGAGATATTCTGGGGAGTTATTAGATAATGACCCTGAAGGATCCTGTAATTCTGAAACTCCAATGTGAGTCATCAGTCAGAATGGGGACTTAGCCTGATGAAATATTAGCTTGAGTCCTTCTCCGGAGGGCTCAAAGGGATCACAAAGCCTCCTAGCACATCTCCATAGCACTACTGCAGGGAACACAGTTGACTTGACAGTCTCTAGCTACTGCCATTTGCATTTAAATTACATGGGCAACAGAATATCTTAACTGTCTCATCCCAGGGATCTATCAATTTTACTGCTCTCTGTCCTCATTAGTCTGGAGAGCACTTGATCATCTTACTATTTCAAAGAATACCATGCTGGTCAATGACATTGGGGCTGTTATGTTAACTGGATTTGCTGACAAGTAACAGGTAGGAGTAGTGCACGAATAAGGCAAAGTGGGGTAGAAGAAGGGCAACAAGTTCAGGGATGTGTCACAAAAATGAGGTTTCTAAGGGTCCAGTAGTGTTTTGACCATTAAGAGTTTCCTTTAAAGGGGAGGACAAGATTCTGTGTCTTGAAAGGCCAACTGCAAAGAAGTACAAAGCTTGGTGGGCCTCTGGAATTTGAAAGTGTGCTCCATACACTATACTGACCCATTTTTGAAGGGTAACTCTATAAGGCTGTCAGTTTTCAGTAAAGCCCCTTGTAAGAAAGGGCTATATTGCAGGTCCAGGCCTCAATTCAAGTTCCTCAACCACATGAGATATATGACCCACAAGACCCAGTGGTATTCAAAGAGTTTATGATAGAGGCGTTGTTAAAAGCCTCTAGAAAGTCCCTGAAAGATAATGACCACACAGTTCTATAGTTTTTAGAAAGACCACACCCTACTCTGCAGATAATTCCCCATTTAAAAGCAAAATCCTGGTAGAGACGAATGTCTGACCATAGGACACTAAATGATTCTGCAACCTGAACTGCCCATCATGAACTAGCTATTAACTGATGGACTGAAACATAACACTGGGCAACACGGCAGCATTTCACTATAAAATGCAAGTGAACAGGCCTAAAGAGATCCAAGAGGGACAAGTCAACTTCATAAACAGGCAGTTTAGATCCTCACAGTACCTGGTTTAACCCCTCTCCCTTAGCCCACTCCTGTGGCTTCTTGGGGGAGTTCCTTATTACAAGAGAGAAAAGAGCATGGTTCACAAACACATCTGTAATGGATGCTGGTGTCAGCCAGAATGGATGATCCCAGAAGAATAACCCTATTCAAACTTGGTTGCCTATTCAATGTTTAAGGAGAAATGGACAGAGGTTTGGATCTAGACTAGACTGACTTGTGGAAAGTGATGAATGAGATTGCCAGATGACTGGGGATATGAAGAAAAAATGTAAAATTAGTGACAAGAAGTTCTGGAGAAGAGGTATTGTAATGGCTCTCTTTGAATGGGCAGAGGATCTGAAGATACTAATGAAGGCTTTCATTATTCAGGTGGACAAGATGACCCTTTCTGAGGATGCCAGCTAGTCTCTTTCCTTGGCCAATCCAGTGCTTATTCAATAGGTCCACAAACAAAATTCTATGGTAACAAGTATGGAAATAAAAAAAAGAGTTCAACAACATGGTCGTTCACTTATACAAATGCTAACCTGGCTACTGCCACTGTGAGTACTCAAGTTCTCCAAAGCACAAGTCAATGCTGAGTTTTCAGTATAGCACCATTCCCTAAAAGAACCAGTTGGGATTGATTATACTGGACCTTTCCTACTGTGGCATCAACAGTATTTTGTCCTCAAAAGGGTAGATTGATGTTTCAAACACATATTTTCTTTCTTTCTTGGCCTCAAGTGTTCTGCAGCACCACACTGTTAGTAGATTTACAAAATGTCTTATCCATCACAACACTGCCTCCAACCAAAGTATATAGTATGGCAAAAGAAGTGTGGCAATAGGATCAAGGCCATGGATTTCACTGCTCTCTCTACAGGCTCTATTATTCAGAAGCAGCTGGCTTAGTTAGACAGAGAAATGCCCTGTTAAAGATTCAGTTAGGGCATCTACTTGGAAATAATATTGTGAGGGTCAAATGAAGAATGCTCTATTAGTGTTAAATCAGTAGCCAATATATTGTACAGTCTCCCCCAGAGCCAGAGAACACAGGTCTAGGAATAAAAAAGTACAAGTAAAAGCAGTCCATCTCATTATTATACTAAATAACTCACGTGAAAAAAATTTTCTTTACCTCCCATTAATGAAAGCTTAGTCGATTTTATGGTCCTACTGCTTAAAGGGGCAGGAGTATTAACTTTTATCAGAAAACTGATTAAATGGGAGCTGAGACTACCTTTTGGGCATTTAGGGGCTTTTCATGCAGTTGAACCAACAGGTACATATTGTACTAGCAGAGTAACTGATTTTGATGACAAGAGGAAATCAATTTCTTGCTATACAACAAAGGCAGCTGCTACGTAACAGGTAACACTATCTGGAACCCTGGAAGCTCAGTGGGGCAGCACTTAACTTTCTCTTCCCAATTGTATTGATCAGTGGAAAATTGTATCAATCCCCAAAATGCAAGAATACAAAAGACTTGGATTTCACAGAATAGAGAATTTGGAGTTTACCACCAGGTAAAGAATTCTAGGACACTGACAGCGGAAAAGGACGTGTGCTCATCTTCTCCTGTGAGAACTCCAAAATTGTGACTTGCTGCTGAACAACCATCAACAGGAGAATGTTGGACCCCACCAAAAAAAGATACCCCATGTCCAAAGGCAAAGGAGAAGCCCCAACAAGATGGTAGGAGAGGCAAAATTGTGTTTAGAATCAAAACCCCATACCCGCCAGAGATGCTCGGAGGGTTCAAACAAAACCTTGTGCACACCAGGATTCAGAGATCCCACAAAGACTGAGCCAGACCTGCCTTTGAGTGTTTGAGTGTCTCCTGTGGTGGCATGGGTCAGCCACCCAGTGGCCTGCTGCGGGGACAGGGGCTCTCTGGCTGCAGCAGACCTGGAAAGAACGCCATGTGGCCTAAGTCGTCTGGGAGGAGGTTGCCATTAACCCCACCATAGAGCCATTGAGCAGATGACCTACAGGCTGGAGAACAATTATACCAAAGAAGTTCTCACACTGTTAAGAAAGTCTTAGGAGCCACAACAGATTTCCCAACCTGGGGATCCAGCAAAGGGACTGAAAAACCCCAGGCAATTTGACTGTGGAGGCCAGTGGGATTTGATTATAGAACTTCCACACAACTGGGGAAACAGACTCTTGGAGGGCAAAAACAAAACCTTGTGCACACCAAGGCCCAGGAGAAAGGAGCAGTGATCTCAAAAGAGGCTGAGCCAGACTTGCCTGTGAGTGTTCAAGAATCTGCAGCAGAGGCATGGATCAGTAGTGGCCTGCCATGGGGTCAGAGGCACTGAATACAACAGTGCTGGCATAAATCTTTTTGAAGGTGATCCCACAGTTTGGCCTCACCCCATCAAGAGATGGGCCCCATCCCATCAACAAAAAATGGGATTAAAGATTTACTGAGCATGGTCCTGCCCATTAGCACAAGACCCAGATTCCTCCCATCAGGGAGGTCCACAAACCTCTTAGCCTTATCTATCAGAGGGCAGAAAGAATGAAAACCACAATCAGAGAAAACTAACCAAACTGATCACATGGATCACAGCCTTGTCTGACTTAAAGAAACTATGAGCCATGCTGTGTAGGGCCACCCAAAATGGACAGGTCATGGTGGAGAGTTCTGACAAAAACGTGGTCCACTGGAGAAGGGAATGGCAAACCACTTCAGTGGTTGCCTTGAGAACCCCATGAACAGTATGGAAAGGCAAAAAGATATGACACTGAAAGATGAACTCCCCAGGTCAGTAGGTACTCAATATGTTACTGGAGAAGACTGAAGAAATAGCTCCAGAAAGAATGAAGATACAGAGCCAAAGCAAAAACAACACGCAGCTGTGGAAGTGACTGGTGATGGAGGTAAAGTCTGATGCTGTAAAGAACAATACTTCATCGGAATCTGCACTATTAGGTCCATAAATCACGATAAATTGGAAGTGGTCAAATAGGATATGGCAAGAGTGAACATCAACATTTTAGGACTCAATGAACTAAAATGGACCAGAATGGGCAAATTTAATTCAGATGACCATTATATATACACTGTGGGCAAGAATCCCTTAGAAGGAATGCAGTAGCTCTCATAGTCAATGCAAGAGTCTGAAATGCAGTATTTGGGTGCAATCTCAAAAATGACAGAATGATTTCTGTTTGTTTGAAAGGCAAACCATTCAGTATTGCAGTAATCCAAATCTATGCCCCAACCACTGATGCCAAACAAGCTGAAGTTGAATGATTTTATGATGACCTACAAGACCTTCCTGAAAGAACAGCTATGACCAACCTAGACATATTAAAAAGCAGAGACATTACTTTGCCGACAAAGATCCGTCTAGTCCAAGCTGTGGCTTTTCCAGTAGTCATGTACAGCTTGAGAGTTGGACTATAAAGAAAGCTGAGTGCCGAATGATTGATCCTTTTGAACTATGGTGTTGGAAAGACTCCTGAGAGTCACTTGGACTGCAAGGAGATCAAACCAGTTCATCCTAAAAGAAATCAGTCCTGAAGATTCATTGGAAGGACTGATGTTGAAGCTAAAACTCCAATACTTTGGCCACTGGATGTGAAGAAATGACTCACTAGAAAAGACCCTGATGCTGGGAATGATTGACAGCAGGAGGAGGAGGAGACAACAGAGGATGAGCTAGTTGGACGGCACCCCGGACTTGATGGACATGAGTTTGAGTAGGCTCTGGGAGTTGGTGATGGACAGGGAAGCCTGGTGTGCTGCAGTCCATGG